GTCCCCTCCCCGGCCCCGGCCGAGGCCGTCGGTGTGACTTCGTAAACTGGGCGCCTCCTTCGCCGAGCCACAGGCAGGACGCAGTAACGGATCCCGCGACCGCGGGTACACCCGGGTGTCGCGCAGTTTTTTCAAGAGGACAGGGACACCCGGCTTTCGCCAGGGAGCTGTCCCTTGCCGCGAACCAGCGGCGGTGACAGCGCCCGGGCGCGTGTCACAAACGCAGAAGCTCCGCCCCTGCCCAGACCTGCTGAATCAGTGTCCCTTGCACCGACGACCCCAGGAGACCCCTGCAAGGTCAAAGTCTGAGAAGGCCTCTGGGGCACATCTGGCCCTGATAGTCACCCAGTCAGCGTGGTGTTTAAGGGCTTGGGCTCTAGGCAGCCCGGTTTGGAATTCTGAATCTGGGAAATTCCTTAACCCCTCTGAACCTGTTTACGCAGGAAAATGGATAATAATAGACCCTGACACCTAGGGTTGTTGGAAGGATTGCATGTGCCATTCAAGGATGGCCTTGCACAACTTAGTGAGCGTTCGGTGTGAGGTTTCCCTCCCTCCCTTGGCCATGGGTTGGCCACCCACACCCTGTGCTGGTGTAGAGTTGCTTCGGGCTCCTTTGGGGCCCTTCTCGGAGCAGCTGCACTCACCATGAGCCAGCTGCTTCCTGAGTTCCCACTGAGGACAAGAAAGCTGCCCTCCCCATGCCATGAAAAATGGCAATTCCCTTCCCCCCAAAGAGCAAACAAGTCTCCAGGATTCAGGAAACCCACACCCAGCACCCAGCCCTGCCACTTGGCTTGGTTCTTGAGCAGCTTTGCTGCGGCGCTGGCCGTCCGTTTCCTGCAAAATCCGCAAAATGAAGGCATGTCAAGGTCATCTTTCACCTCTCCCCCCGCCCCAAAGCATGTGGTCTCACACCTTCAGGGAAGCCACTGCAGCAGAGACGACTTCGCTTAGGACCCAAGTATGTCACCGAGGCCGGGACTCCTCGAGGCCCACGCCACCCCAAGCCTTCCCACCCTCCTTTCCTTCTGATGGTGGTGCACAGCATCTGCATTCCAGGCAGGGGCACGCTTGCCAGGCCCTTGCCCATCACCTTGACTTGGGCCAAGGTTAGCATTAAAAGCAGAAGCCCAGAGACAACCAGACATGCTCTGCTACCTACTCCTTTTCCGAGACCTGCCTCTGATGTCATAACTAGGTAGCTATGACAACCTGCATGGGGACACTGAGCACCTCACAGAAGAGGCTGGGTGCCTCATTGCTGAAGTGAGACTAGAAAGAGAAGATGAACAATTCCCTGGATTACCTGGCCTACCCTGTCATCGTCTCAAACCACAGGCAAACCACAACCTTCAGAAAGAAACTGGACTTAAGCCACTACATATCTCACAAGAACAGAATACAAATAGGTATGTGGGCAGTGTGAGCTGGACACTGCTATCAAGGATTCTGGAAGGGTCCCTCACAGAGATACTGACAGTAAGCCAGACCTGGGCACAGCCTTGGGATGATATGGCCTTATCTGTTGAGTGTGTTCAAGGAGACCTCAGCATCAATAACAAAATTGATCTTTCACCAGGGAGTTCATTTGATGGAAACACTCATTTTAAAATTTTTTTTTAAGTCGGAGTCTCATTCTGTTGCCCAGGCTAGAGAGTGCAGTGGCACAATCATGGCTCATCAAGCCTCCACTTCCTTGGCTCAGGCAATCTTTATACCAGTAGGTGAGAATACAGGTGTGTACCACCTCGGCTAATGCTTTTCCTTTTTTGTTGTTGTTGTTGTAGAGATGAGGTCTCACTATGTTGCTCAGGCTGGTCTCCAACTCCTGGGCTCATAGCGATCCTCCCATCTTGGCTTCCCCAAATCCAGGTATGACAGGCATGGGCTACCGCACACAGCCTCATTTTAAACTCTTTAAAGCCAAAGTGAATTAGGAGACTTCAGAATCAGAAAGGCAGTCTGGCCATACTGGGAAAAGTGGGAGAGAGGCTCTTTGGTTGAATGAAAAGGACATTTGTCTCTGTAAATTTTCCTTTTTCTAGTCCTCACCATTCTTTCATTTCTGCTCAAAACTCGGCAGAAGAGATTTCATTAGGTAAATGAAACCAAGCTAAAATTCCTGAGCCAGATTGAGGTCCTAATTCAAAACTGTTCGTGAGTCGGGGTCATGGTCTAGCCGGTGGCTTTCTGAGGCTGCTCTTAGGATTCCTGTGATGTAACAAGGCCCCTTTTGTCCCTCTTCTCTAGTGAAGCCGGCCGTTGACACCAAGCCTCCAGTGGCGCACACACACCACATTTTTAAGTTGAGCAAACTACAGGTATTTGTTCTTGCCCCCTACCGATGTATTTAATTGATTTTTAATCTGTGTCCTACAGAGGCCTGATTTCCCAGAGCCTTCTCAATACTCATCTAGCTCAAAGACTCATGAACACTCCCCCTCCCTGTACACATCACCCCCAGCCTACTAAGCTCTGCTCCCCATCTCCACCGTGGTCCTCAACATACCCTTTCCCACAATCCCAGAGAAGGGGGATCCCATGCCATTGCGTGCCAGGGCAGTGTGGCAATGATGTCACCACGGTGAGGTGTGGTTTCTTCCCAGGGTGAACAAAAGAGAATCGACAAAATCGAGTATGAAAATAAGCAACTATGTCAGAAAATCGCAGACGCCCATCGCGGCCCTGCCAAGGTGGACTGCTGGAATGAATATCTTTCCAAGAGGTAGTGTTCTTTCTCTCCGTTTTATTTTGAAAACTCAGAAGTGACCTTCCCCCTTAGGCTTCAGAGTGAGGTTTTCCCAAGCAAGAGGAGAACTTCAGGGAGTTATCTTAAGGGATAACCAAAGAGACTTTGGAAAAAAAAGAACAGAAGCTCTGGCCCCCTTCCCTACCTCAGAGGGGTGAATCTCCTCTCTGTCTCTCTCTCCGATTTACTTTCTAAATAAACTATATTTTCCAGTCTAAAGAAAAAAAAAGAATGAAAACTTCAAAAATGAGGACTTTTCTCTAGCGTCTTTTATACTCTGGTTTCTCTTCAGATTGTATAAATCTTTTGCCTTTTACTAAAGATTTCTGTGGAGAGGAACAATTCTGAGTCTTAATCCAATTTTTTGAGGCATTGCATCTGTAAGGCTAACAAAGCTGTGGGGGGAGAAACACAGTTTTATGTCATCTAAGAGACTTTTCAGAGTCCTATTCAGCTTGTCACAAGAAGGCACCACACATGTTTATAAAATGATGACCACGTGTCTTAGTCCGTTATAGGCTGCTATAATGCTATAAACAGGTGACCTAGAAACAAACAGAAGTGTATTTCTTACAGTTCTAGAGGCTGGGAAGTCCAAAGATAGATGTACCAGCAAATTCGGTGTCTGGTGAGGGCCTGTTTCCTGCTTCATAGACTGCCACCTTTGTGCTGTCCCCTCACATAGCAGAAGGGGCAGGAGGTCTTTCTCAGACTCCTTCACAAGACCACTAACTCACCTACTCACCTCCCAAAGACCCCACCTCCTAATACCTTAGGCATCAGGAGTTCAATGTATGAATCTGGGGGAAGGGCACAGACATCTGGACCATGGTACCATAGCTGGAACTATGACATGGCACCCTTAAAATCAAGTCCACAAATATTTCCTGAGCAACTGCTAGGTACTAGGCACCAGGAATAGCAGAAACGACGTGAGATGTCTATTTCCTTAGACAGATTTTTTAAAAATTTGTTTTAAAAAAGTTTTGTAGAGATGGAGTCTTGCTATGTTGCTGCCCAGTCTGGTGTCAAACTTCTGGGCTCAAGCGATCCTCCCACCTCAGCCTCCCAAAGTGCTGGAATTCTGGAATTACAAGCATGATCCACTGCGTGGGGTCAAAATTATTCCTTACCCTTAAAGGACTCGAGATCTTGTATCTGAGACATTTATGCAAATCACAACAATGTGGTGTGATTAGGGCTACAAAAGAGCCCTATATATACAAGGGAAAGAATTTGGAGGAGAGAGAGAGACAGACACAGCACATGTGCCAGCAGGGGCCAGTCAAAATGGCTTCCCTATGTTCTCGTGTATCCTGGTATAAGTTGAAAACTGAGAGGAGTGAGGTAACCCAAAACTTGTCGCCAGACAGTTGTGATTTATCCGCAGGGAGGCCTTCCCCCATGATACAAGCCAGAGGTTCTCAATCCCAGTTTCACATTATAGTCCTTGGGGAACAAAGTGTCCCAAAGTCCACCCCAGACCAGTGAAGTAGAATCTTCTAGTGGGCAGCAGGGTTGAGAACCACTGACATAAACCTGAAGATATTTTGCATGTTTTCCAGAGATCAGTGCGGTTCAGCAGGTCACCCCGGAGGGCCTTTGGCGGGAAGGCTGACTTCCTGCACTCAAGCAGCCTGGCACTTGTGACATCATGACTTCATCTCCTCCCCCACACCCATCCAAGGACAGTGTTGCCTTCCTCACCCACCTCAGGGTTTTGTGTTTTTCAGCTTAAACAGAGAAACAAGGAACCGTGAGCTAGTGAGAATCACCGTGGAAAACCAGGGAATTCTGAAGAGGCTTGGTGATCGCAAACCCCACTACGACTGCAGGGCATCTGAGATCGACTGGCAGGCATGTGGGCACTCTTGTTACAGTCCCAGGTGTACACAGAGTTTGTGCCTGCTCAGCCTGGAGAGAGTCTCAGAAGTATCCCCAGACAGTGCAGACCAGATCACGTGAAATGCAGCAATCGTTAACAGAAAAGCCATCCAGGCAGCTCACGCGATACATGCCTGTAACCCCAGTGCTTTGGAAGGCTGAGGTGGGAGGATAGCTTGAGGCCGGGAGTTTGTGTCCAGCCTAGGCAGCATAGCAAGACCCCATCTCTCCTCAAAAAATAAAAATAAAACATTAGCTGGGCGTGGTGGCAGGCCAGTAATCCCAGCTATTCAGGAGACCGAGGTGGGAGAATCTCTTGGGCCCAGGTGTTCCAGGCTGTGGTGAGCTATGATCACACCACTCCACTCTAGTGTGGGCAACAGAATGAGACCCTGTCTCAAAAAAAAAAAAAAAAAAACAGTCTAAAGCTAACAGGCACAAAGTATCATACAGACAGCCAAAGACATTCTGGTAGCAATACTACAATGTGTCAGTTTCTTAACATATCACTTATGGGTCAGTTTCAGAAAACATCTGGTAGTGTCTTCTTTTATCCCTTAATCTGTTAAGAAAGGCCGAAGGCACAGGGATGCAGAATGTATGATTCAGTCTGTGACTGGATTGCTTCATTTAGGACTAACCCAGCCAGAAGGATATGCAAAGCCACCTATGGTGTTTTAAAAACCTCCACTCCTTGGCTTTGGTCTGTAAGCCTTTTCTATGCCATCTTAGGACTGGGAGCTTCAGCAGTCGCTCCAGCACTGTGACACTGACATAAACTTTTCTCACCTTTTTTCCTCCAAGAATTCAAGGCGCTATATCAGAAATACAACAAGATATTCTCTGCCGAGATGAATAGGTATGTATCTTTACTACAGAACATTATGATCACAGTTGATACCAGAGCCCTAAGGACCCCATAAATGGCGAACAAGGGGCCCCAATAAGGGGCGGACTGCTCCTCATTGGAATACCGAGGGGTTCACTCAGGAAACCCAGGGCTCCCTTTGTTTCCTCTCTCCATACAAGTAGGAAATGATCTTGTCCTTGGTCTTCAGCTTTGAGGCTTTATGGGAGTTTACAGGAGGTGATTTGTTCCAATAAGACATCAACAGAAGGTCTCCTGGCTTTAAAGTGGTTCCAGCGCTATCTCTCAGGTCTCTGTCAGTATTCAAAAGCACTGCCACACTGGCATTTTGTATTATTTAACATTATGAGTTATGACGAAGTGGTTCCCCCGCCACCAGGGAGAAGGATAAATGGACACTCAAGCTTTCCAAAGAATAGTTCTATATAATTGCTGTGTCTCCCTCTCTCTCCCCCACAGAATTCAAGGTTACTCACCGTGGGAAAAGGCGCAAGGGAAGGCCCTAGGATTTCTCAGCTGCTTAGAATTTCAAGACGCTCTCTGAGCGACTGAGTGCTGAATCTTAGGATGTGTCAATAAAGCTTGGAACATACAATGAGTAAGTTACATCTAAGGGACCCAAAGGCTTTGCGCTCGCATCCCCAAACAGGGCAGGCTGAAGCAAAGACGCATCGAGCATTTGCACTGGGGGCTATGAAAACAAGGTTTTGAAATAGGGACCGAGCGCTTAATTCACAGACACCGACACCAAATGTACACGTTATAAAAAGGAGAGGTTTATTAGCCAAGAGGCGGGCCAGCGGCCACTTGCCTGCTGGACATGCCAGTCCCACCACAAGGGCCCCCATTTGCTGTGGGGGCTTGCTTAAATGGGGCAAAACCATATTGGGACTTTCCAAGTGGGCCAAACCGCAACATTCTGGAGGCCTAGGTATTTTTTAAGTAATGCTAGCAGGGTAAAGTGAAAAAAAAGCTGTTAAACAGTTTAACCTAGCCAGCAGGTGCTGTTGCCAGTTTCCAGGAAGGGAACTTTTTTTTTTTAAATTGTGCAAAGGTTGAGTACATGTTTAATTTTTGACATTGTAGATGTCTTTATAAACCCCCTTTCACAGTTTAATGAGAGAGAAAGAATGAGATCTGAGAGAACTCTTCTAAACATACACCTTCATCCTCACCATCCTGGGGGGAAGAAAAGCTGTGGTGAGATCATCCGGCCACGAGTACACACTGCCCAAGGAAAGCAAAAGCACGACAGCCTCCCGATTCAGACAACACAAGGAACAAACACTGCTAGTTCCTCTGTGAATACACAGAATTGGAAAAGAATGCCTCACTGAAGTGTCCATGGGCTTTGCTCATTTATAGGGACGGCAGCAGCAACAGTGTCACAAAACATATGGTGAGACACTGTTGCATGGCTTCTGTGACTGTCATGCTGGTTTTGAGCCTGACTGTGTTAGGGTTTTCCAGAGAGACAGAATCAATAGGATGGATGGATAGATAGATAGATAGATAGATAGATAGACAGACTGTAATAGATACAAAGATAGATAAGTCAGATAGGTAGACAGATAAATGATAGACTCTGTCATTGATAGACAGACTGTCATAGATAATAAATAAACTGTCATTCATAGATAGATAGTCATAAATAGGTAGGTAGATAATATGTTCTGTCATAGATTGATTGATAGATGATAGGTAGATGATAGATAGTAGATAGATAAACGATAGACTGTCATAAATAATAAACAGACAGATTGTCATAGATAAGTAGATGATAGACTCTGTCATTGATAAATAGGTAGGTGGATATAGATAGATAGATAGACAGACAGACAGGGGAGTGACTCACAAGTTTATGGAGGTTGAGAAATCCCATGACAGGCCATCTGCAGGCTGGAGACCCTGGGATGCTGGTGTCTTGATTCAAGTCCAAAGCCCTCAGAACCACAGAAGTAGACAGTGACACTCTCAGTCCCAGGCCAAAGGCCTAAGAACCCAGGGTGGGGGTGAGGGGCATAGAGGGGGCACTGGTGTAAGTGCCGAATCCAAGAACTGGGAGGCCTGGAGTTCTTGTCCAAGGACAGGAGAGGCATGGACACATTCTCCTGTTCTATTTCTGTTTTCCCTGGACCCACACTGAGCTCAGATCTCCCCCACCTAGTCCACTGGGAGTTACGCGCTAACCTCCTATGGAAACACCCTCACAGACACACCTCAAAATAATGCTTTACAGGTTTCCAGGTATTCCTTAATTCAGTCAAAATTAGCCATCACGTTGACTTTCTCAACTTTTTTTTTTTTTTTTGAGCCGGAGTCTCATTCTGCCGCCCAGGCTGAAGGGCAGTGGCACACTCACAGTCACCCTAGCCTCGACCTGCTGGGCTCTGGCGATCCTTCCGCCTCAGCCTTCCAAGTGGCTAGAACTATAGGTGCGCTACCACGCCTGGCTAATTTTTGATCTGTAGAGACGGTGTCTCGAACCGGACTGGTCTCAAACCCGCAGGCTCAGGCAATCCACTCTCCTCGGCCTCCCAAAGTGCTGGGATGACAGGCTGAGCCACTGAGCCCGGCTACTTTCTCAACTTTCTATTGAAACCATGGCGGCCTCACAGGGAGCTGCGAATCAACGCACAGGGAGGCCCCCCGCACAGCTCCCCCGGCCCTCCCCAGCATTCATTCCCATCTCGCCTAACTGCAGCACAACATCCAAGCCGGAAACCAACACGGGCACAATCCACAGAGTGCATCATATTTCACCAGTTATACCACACTCGTTTGTGTACGTGTGTGTGTGTGGCTCTAGGCAATCTTGTCCCAAGTTGTAGCTTTGTGTAACCACAACTGCATTCAAGATGCTTAACTGTATTATTATCAAAAGACCCTCTTGTGCCAATGTTTTTAACCACAGTCATCCCTTACCCCCATGTCTAGCCCCTGGCAATCGCAATCTGCTTTCCATCTCTGTGTTCTTTCCTGAGCGTTACATAAATGGCTCCATGTGGCATGTGTTCATCCTTTAAGACTGGCCTTTTCGCTCAGTATAATTTACTTAAAGTTCACCCAAGTTGTGTGTGCCCACAGTTGGTTTCTTTTTATGGCTGTACCACAATTTAACCATACACCCATCAAAGGACATTTGGGTAGTTTCTAGTTTTTTGAATATTATGAATAAATGAACATTTGTGTACAAATTTCTGCATGAAAATCGGTTTTCTCTAGGATAAGTGCCCAAGAGTGCAATCACTGGGTCGTACGGTAAGTCTGTTTTTCTTTTTTTTTGTTTTGTGCTTTTGTTTGTTTGATTTTTGAGTCAGGATCTCATTCCCAGGCTGGAGTGCAGTGGCACCAACACAGGTCACCGCAGCCTCAACCTCCTAGGCTCAGGTGATCCTTCCACCTCAGCCTCCCAAGGAGCTGGGACTCCAGGCAAGCACCACCACAACTGGCTAATTTTTTTTTTAGAGATGAGGTCTCACTACATTGCCCAGGCTGGTCTCAAACTCCTGGACTCAAGTGATCTCCCACCTCAGCCTCCCAAAGTGCTGGGATTATAGGCATGAGCCACTGCACCCACCCTTCGATTGGTATTATTAATGCAAAAACATGCCCATATCAGTTTCTAGCTTAATACCATCCACAACTTGCCATTCTTCCATCATGAACCGGGACTTTCGATATGCCGCACAAGGTCCTCCATGATCCTGCCCATGAACTGCTCAGGTTATGAAGGGGGACCCAAAAAAACCCGGAATTATCTTTTGGAGGGTGGGCACCTTGTAGTCCAGGCTTCCCCCTGCTAGGTGAGTGTCCTGGGAACCCATTGGCATCAGCATACCAGCTAGCATTGTTGTAAGAGGCTGCATTCAACCTCAGTGAATTTTTTCTGGAGATTCTTTCAACACATTTGCCTGTTTCATAATTGGGTGGTTTACGAATGCACCTGCCCAAACCACGCTGAGCATTCGGCAGTTTTCAACCCAGAACAGCATGACCCCCATTCCCCACCCTCCCTATTCACCTGATCTCTCCCTGAGAGATTTTGGGTTCCCCTGGATGAAAAAAGTCCTCAAGGAGAGGACTTTGCTGATGTGGAAGAGGTGAAACAAAAAACGGCAGAAGCACGAAAAGGCATCAAAATAAACACATTCAAAAACTGTTTTGAGCAGTGGAAAAAGCATCCCGATCGGTGTATTGCATCCAGGGGAGAGTACTTTGAAGGCGACTGAAGCTTAAACATGCAAGATAAATACACAATTTTTCATAAATTCCAGTTTTTTGGGAGCCCCCTCATATATTAGGTGTAGCTTCAAATGTTTGGAGGTCTTCCCAGGGTCTTCTCTTATTGATTTTTAGTCTGATTCCATTATGTCAGAGAACATACTCTATAATTTCAGTTATCTTAAATTTGTTAAGGTTACTTCAGATACCAGGATTTAGTCTATCTAGGTGAATTTTTTTTTTTAAGTTGGAGCCTAACTCTGTTGCCAGGCTAGAGTGTAGTGGCACGCTCATAGTCACTGCAGCCTCGACCTGCTGGGCTCAGGCGATCCTTCTACCTTAGCCTCCCAAGTAGCTGGAACCACAGGTACGCATCACCCCACCCAGCTAATTTTTGTGATTTATTGTAGAGACGAGGTCTTGCCAAGTTGCCAGACTGGTCTCAAACTCTGGACTCAGGCAATCCTCTTGCCTCAGCCTCCCAAAGTGCCAGGATTACAGGTGTGAGCCACCGCACCCAGCTATTTTTATTATTTTTTTTAGTCAGGGTCTCACTCTGTGGCCCAGGCTGGAGTGTAGTGGCATGATCTCATTGCAGTCTTGACCTCCTGGGCTCAGGTGATCCTCTTGCTTCAGCCTCTGGAGCAGCTGAAACTACAGGTATGTGCCACTACACCCAGCTAAGTTTTTCAAACATTTTTTTTGTAGAGACAAGGTATTGCTGTGTTGCCCAGGCTGGTCTCGAACTCCTGGCCTCAAGAAATCCTCCCACATCGGTTTCCCGAATTACAGGTTGGAATTACAGGCATGAGCTACTGTGCCTGGCCCAACTTACGAGTTTTTAACTTTCCAATAGTGGGAAAGTGATACATACTTATTTGGTAGAGACCATACTTTTGAGCACCCATAAACCATTCTGTTTTTCACATGCAGTCCAGTATTCAATCAATCACATGAGATCTTCAATACTTTATTATAAAACATGCTTTGTGTTAGATAGTTTTGCCTAACCACAGGCTAATGAGCAAGTTTAAGGTAGGCTTGGCTAAGTGGTGATGTTTGGTTGGGTGGGTGTTTTAAATGCATTTTTGACTTACGGTATTTTCAACTTACCGTGGGTTTATTGGGACATAACCCCATCTTGGGTCCTAGGAGCATCTATACCCCTACTTTTACCCTTTCTGCTGTCATTTTTTTCATCCTGAAGGTCCCAGCAGTAGCTCTGTTAATTTATTTCTGTTTCAGGGCTTCTTCTAGCCAGTCTTTAAGGGTAGATCTCAACAAATTGTCTTCATCTGAGAATGTCTTTATTTATTCCTGAAGGATAGTTTCTCCAGTTACAGGATTCAAAGGAACAGCTGTTTTCAGCAC